TGCTTGTGAAGATTAGTGGAAGCATTTGAAAAGTCCTGTTGAGAACAGGTCGTGGTTTTACTCCCTTAAGCAAGGAGGTTTCCACATAAAATCATTGTGTTGATTTTAACTGCATTTAACTTTCTGGTAATTCTCTGGAGTGTAGTAAGGGACCTGGTCCATTATTCTGTTAAGTGAAGGCATATATTCTATCACATCCCATCACAAGCCCGTAAAATAGCACCATCGATAAAGCTATTGATCCCATCCCCTTCACTAAATACGCGCTTCTTCTTAGTGACTCGTAACCCTGTTTTGATTCAACCACTGGTACTACATAAGCTAATGACCAGTTTACCTGTAGCCAAATCAGAATTGGTACGAGTACAATTATCGCGAAAATAATCAAGTGATTGATCAGATAGTATTTGAGTTCAATTAGTCGGGATAAGACTAATGCGAAAATGAGTGTGATTGAAATGAGAATAGCATGAGAAATAACAAAAGTGGAGAGAAGAGGGAAAAACGAATTTCTGATTGATTTAATAGACGAAACAACGTTGATCGGTCTACCATAAGATGCTTGAATGGTGCTGTATGTAAATGTGGCTACGGTACAGAGGTAAAACAGGACTAAAAACAGAGTGCATATTATGAGTGCGATAATTTCAAAATTGGAGAGGGAAAGTTGAGTGGAAATGGTGAAATCGTAATCGGGGTGAAAGAGGGAGAGGTGGAAAGAAGGATATACGATGAGAGTGAAAAGGACAGGGCAAAGGAAGAGGATAGAAAGGGCGCGAAAATGTCCTGAGTTAGGTTTGGTTACGAGGTTGGATGATATTAGGATCTCTCTCCATAGGGAGCTACGATTTTCTGTAGAAGAAGACATTAATGGAGGGTGAATGATTACAAACAACAAATTAAAGATCGATGAAGAGGAAGATGAAAATTGAGATAACAACAACTATTACTACTACTCTTCTTATAAGATGCGAAAATGGTGACTTTTCTTAATGGCATAATACGTATGTTGGACTTTAAACTTGGTTTCAAATTTTAATTTTGACTTCCAACTTTCATAATGCACAAACAAACACTTTAACTATCTAAATTTCAAATAAATAAACACATAAGTGCTAAATGACAAAATACACGTAGGACACCACGTAGGACAAAAAATGACATGTAGGACATGTGTGTCTATTTATTCAATTTTATACAAGTTGAAGTGTCTACTTGTGTATACCCAAAATTGAAGAGCATAAATATGATTTGAAGTCAAGTTAAAGGACATATTTATGTATTATGCCTTTCTTAATTATAACTCTTAAGAAAATATTCAAATAAATAATTTTCAACAGTGGCGTTGGAAGTTTTGTCATTTGACCAAAGTGTGATGTTAATATATGATCACCATGGAAGAAAGATGTGATGGGATAATAGAGATGCAGGTTACTACTCCCTACGTCCTATTTTATGTCACTTTTCAAATTTCAAGAGTTGAATAAGTCTATATTTAACTGTAAATATTTTGAATTATCAATTATTATGACTCATAGTATTTTTTACGTAGTTTATAAATATATAAATTTCATTTCAAAAAAATTAAAGATTTCACGCGCAAATTTTTTATTAAACTTAAATTGTTTGACTCTCAAAATATAAAAGGTATCATATAAATTGAGATAAGAAAATATTTAGAGTGAAATTCAGAGTGCTTGGAGTGTATGTTCTCTATTTTATTCTTCAAATATAAAAAATATAGAGTAAAATAGAGATGAGTTGAAGATAGTTTAGTGCGAATGATAAAATAATTGTGTTCACCTACTATTAAGAAAGGATATTCTTATTTCTTCACATCACATTACAAGTGATCTGCAATTTGTTATATCAATGTTCATCTTAAGTATTGTATCAGGAAACTAATAATAAAGAGTATGTAATAAAGCATTCAAAACTCTGTTCTTTCTGAAATTTTTTATCATGGTAGATGCTTAATCAACAAAAGATGTGTAAGACTCCATTTATTTTTTGACACGTGAATAAGTAGGCCTATGAACATTCTACAACTAACAAGAGAGAGAAAATATATTTACACTTAAATTGAGTTGAACAAATACGAAAAATGCAAAAAAAAAATAAAAATTATGCGTTTTCTACTTTTCTTTTAATCGTTAGTAATATTTATTAATTGTGGAATTATACCGAATATATTGTTATTGTAATTGTATGTTAGTTTGAAAAATTTATTTTGATATGATTTCTTTTTGTATTCATGTTAGTGTTTTTCTTTTCTTTTTTCTTTTAAAGAAAAAATAAATTCTTTCATAATTATTGTGATTTTAAAATGTGGTCATTTTATTTTAATTGTTACGATTTAAAATGTCGATTTTTATCTTATTTTTAAATTAGAACTTTGCAGAAAAGTAAAAAAAAAAAGTTAATTATATTATAATTATGGGAATGGTTGTTTAAAACAAAGTAACACTACTCAAAAAAATAGTTTTTCAGTGGCTTAAGTCATCTGCGGCCCCTTAAAGTTGTCCACATAATTCACTTAGACACCTGAACTAGGACTTATACCTATTGAGCACCTAAATTATCAAGAAATGTGTCTATTAAACACAAAACGCTCATGTGGCAAAATAAGTGTATCTCACTGCTGCTGAGCGTGTGAATGCATTTTTTTATTATTTTTTTAAATATTTATACCTACTTTGTTGACACTTGGCATGCATTGACTAAATATATAAAAAAAAATACCCCACACTCATCTTCTTCAACCCACTTAAAAACTTCAAATTTTTCTGCCTTTTGTTATGATTCATTTTTTTTTTCATTTTCTGTAAACAAAATACCTGCTGAATTTTTAAGAAGAAGAAAAAATGGACCATTTGGAGTTAAAAAATTGATCAATATCTGTACATTTTTATTTTCTATAACTCCAATTGAGCAACTATCACCATTCATAAACTTATTAATAATGCTATAAAATATTTGATATAATTTTAATTTCTCTTTGTTGTCGATTTCAAAATAATTTATCAAGATCGATTATATTTACAAAATCGAAATAGTCATCGAAGGAATAACATATAACGAAGAAAATGAAAGAGGAAAACATTTGGTGGATGAATTCGGAACTAGATGGGGTTAGGCATTTTTTTTTGTTATGCAGAGGAATGGTGATTGTGGAACAACAGAGAAGAAGAGAAGAAGATGAAGAAAAAAGGGCAGTAAGTTAGATGGGATGGGGGTCAGGTGGGGGTGAGGGTGAGGGTGGGGGAAATATTTTTTTTTAATCAATTTAATTTTTTATATATTATTAAATGAAGGAAAATATTCTTTATTTTTTAAAATTAAAATTATGGGCCCATATGCCACGTGTTGTTGTTCTATTCGTAATTTTTGTCAAGATAACGAGTGTGCATTACACGCACAATATTTGTAAAGATAGTTGTTATTTTATGTTCAATAGATGAATATTTATTAATATTAAAGTGTCTAATAGGTAAGAGTCTCAATTGAGGTGTCTAAATGAATTATGCGGATAACTTTAAGGGGCTATCGATGACTTAAGCCTTTTCAGTTGTTACCGAATGTACGATTTATCATCATTTTATCATTAATTTTTTAAATAAAATAGCAATTAAAATATCCTCTCGACTACATTTTCTTTATTTTAATTTATTTAAAAAAATTGTATTATTATTGCTAAATTTGTGAAATAAGAATTTATTTTGATTAAAGATGGCAAGATATAAAAGAGAATCAAGATCTGAAAGACTAATTTTTTATTTCTTTTCAACATCAATGGGGATGTCAACTTTTTCCAGACATCAATGAAAACATTAATTTTTTATAAAAAAATACACATTCAATTTGAACTCCAAAATATGTAATTTTAATTTTTAATACAATTAATAAGACCATGATTTGATTTAAGAAACAACGTTAAAAAGAGAATTTCATAAAAAGTTATTTGATTAAATGAGCATTCAACAAGTATAAAATGTGGTTCCTACCGTCATTTTTTATTATATTTTATAATTATTCAGTGAATTGTATTATATCTAGTAAGATATATTAATCATGGTTTACTTTTTAAAAACTATTTCTTTGGGTATGATACTTTATTTTAAACAATCATTCCCATATTAATAATATAATTTTCCTTCAAAAGTTCTAATTTAAAATAAGATAACAATTGATATTTCAGATTGTAATAATTAAAATAAAATGACTATATTTAAAATTACAATAATTATGAATTTTTTTTTAAAAAAAATACAACATGAATACATAAAAAAATATCATATAAAAATAAATTTGTCAAATTAACAGACAACTACAAAAACAATAATATATGGGGTATAATCCCATAAATTAGTATAATACTAATAATGATTGGAAAAAAGTAACAAACGCACGTAATTTTGTTGCATTTTTATATTTGTTCAACTCAATTTACGTGTAAATATGTTTTTTTTATTTTGTTAATTATAATAAGTTCTTACTTTTAAAGTAAAAAAAGTATATAAATGAACCACTTATCCATGTGTCAAAAAATAAATGATCCTCACAAGCCTTTTATTAAATATGCCTTTACCATGATGAAATTTTTCATTTTTTCTCACCAATATAAATTATAGTGATTGAAATTATTTATGCTTCACCATTAATTATATGTTATCAAAGGAAACACGAAAGTAGCAATAGACTTCAACATGGAGACATTCTACTTTTCATTTAAGCATTTGTTATCCAAATCTATTTAATCAGATTAATTTAGATTCATATCATACATAGTTTAATGATTTTTTTTATAACACTTTTTATCAAAGAAAATCTCATTCTCAAAGTTGGTACTAATTTTTTTTGGTTAAATTATTTCTCTTAGTAATTGTAGTAGAAAAATCCTAACATAAACTATAGTTTTGAAAGCAAAAAAAAAGATAAATCAGCTAGGATAAAATATTTGTTCAAAAGTTACATGTCAAAGTTTCAACTGATAAGGGTTTCAACTGAATTTCCTTCATAAATAAGATATACGGTACAAATAATGTCAAAGGAATACTTTCTCCAACACCTTTGATATAATTAAAGATTTTATTGTTCAAATGTTTTTCGCGAAAAAATATCACACCGTGTTGAGTGATTGATACTCATCGCTACATTCATTGTCTCCAATCTCCAAGGGAAACTTTTCGCCATTGAAGTCATTGCAATACATATACAACAGAACGTTTCCAATAAGATATTGATTCATCGTCTTATAAGATATTACTATTGAAATCACTAATACCGGCAATATCCCTACTGAGATGATAATACACTGATAAGATGTACACATTATGAAAAAAAGCATCGAACCAACGATCACCATACCTCCAACCATAAGCCCATAATATAGCATCATCGATAAAGCTATTGATCTCACCCCCATTCCCTTCACTAAATACGCGCTTCTCCTCAGTGTCTCGAAGCCCTGTTTTGATTCAACCACTGCTACCACATAAGCTAATGACCAATTCACCTGTAGCCAAACCAGAATTGGTACGACGAAAATCAGATTGTATTTGAGTTCAATTAGTCGGGATGTGAAAATGAGAGTGATTGAAATTAGAATGGTATGAGAAATGATAAAAGTGGAGAGAAGAGGGAAAATCGAATTTCTGATAGATTTAACAGAGGAAACAACGTTGATCGGTCTGTCATAGATTACTTGAACAGTGGTGTAAGTAAATGTGGCTACGGAACAGAGGAAAAACAGGATAAAGTACAGAATACATATAATGAATGCGATAATTTCAAAATTGGAGAGGGAAATATGGGAGTGAATAAGTTTGTCGATAAAATCATATTCGGGATGAAATAGAGCGAGGTGGAATGAAGGATATATGGTTGGAGCGAAAAGCAAAGGTAAGAGAAAGAGGATTGTAAGTACATCAAAATGCTCTAAATTAGCGATGTTTATGAGAGTAGATAGTTTTAGGATCTCTCTCCATAAAGGGCTACCATTGCCATTTTCTGTAGAAGAAGACATTAATGATGACCAAGAAGAAGATATAAAAAACAAATACTATTAATACTACTACTTGTTATGAGCATGATACGCCATAGATTTTTTATTTTTTTTTGAAATATTCAAATAAATAATTTTCATTAATGACATTGGAAGTTTTCTCATTTGACCAAGTTGTGATAGAATAATTGTGGTGTAAAATATTACTATTTATTTTATTTTAGGATAAATTATTAATATAGATATCTTTTTTTTTTCCTTTTGATAATTGTTCTTTCAATTTTTCAAAATTCCTTATTTTACTTCTAAACTCTCAAACGCTGGATACGTAAATGTTAAACTCTCAAAATCAAAGTTTATTTTTATTTTTTATTTCATTCTATAAATCTCTCTCTATTTTTAGTCACACCATCTTAATCGTTATTTTCTCTTATGATAAGGATATTTTTAGACAAAAAAAGTTTTAAGAGAATACTTATAAGTTTTTTCTTACCTATTTTTAAATATACTCCAAAATTTATAATCAAATATAATAAGTGAACTTTCAAATTTGAACCGTACATTGTAAATTAAAAAAAAGAAAAGTAACAGTAATAGTTATTATTTCGTAATAATTAGGGAAAATGCACAAGTACCCCCCTCAATCTATGCCCGAAATTCCACAGACACACTTATACTATACTAAGGTTCTATTACCCCCTGAGATTATTTTATAAGTAATTTTCTACCTCTTTTTGGCCTACGTGGCACTAGCTTGAAAAAAAAGTCAACCAGTATGGGACCACAAGATAGTGTCACGTAGGCCAAAAAGGGTCAGAAAATTATTAATTAAATAAATTCAGGAAGATAATAGGACCTTAATATATTGTGTCTCTGAGATTTCGGGATAACTTGAGGGGATAGTTGTACATTATCCCTAATAATTAGTATAATATTTTGTAAGTTTTTCATAATTTAAGTTGATTATGGACTCTAACAACTATTCCTTCATTGAAAGTGATTAAGATTCTTATATTATTATTTAATCTTTCCATTGTTTCATAATAGCGCTAGATTCATTTTTACCAAAGTTTCATACCATTTGATAATTTTCATTTATTTTCTGGTTTTTTTAATAATCAAATTTCTTTAATGGATTGTGTTTGTTCATATATCTAATTGATTACTTAATTTTTATTTATTGTGATACATTTATAGATATATTTTATTTCAACTTACATACACACTTCTTTTACAATCTTATTATATCAGATACATTATTATCAACTACAAAATGATAAATTGTAGATATAAAAAAATGTATCTTATTACTTGAAATCAAAATGTTTTGAATTTCAACTTTGTACTATTAATTATTTAAATTCCATGATATTTATTTTTAATGGATATGATATTAACGATCTAAAATTAATATTCGAAATAAAAGGTACGTTGTAGATAAAAAAATGGACAAATAAAAAAAAATTATTACATTGTAGATATCTGCTACACTTAATTAAGTAGTACTTATTTATTTAATTTTTATTGTAAAAATTCATTTATGTAGATAAAATTTTCTTATTATAATAACAACAACAATAAACAATATAACAATAATAGTAATAATTATTATCACAATATAACATCCTTTTAATTATATAAAACAAAAATATCTTTGATAAATTCAAAAATTAAAGTATTTTTCTGTAAAATAAAAGATGAAATAACTAAAAGTATTATTAAAAATATATTTATTTAGAAATAAAAAATGATATTGCATTGGTTCTAACCCCATACCTTGTACTTTAAAAATCCAACTTAAACCAATAAGCCAAGCAACTCAATTTAAAGGTAAGCACACAACTGAAGTTGACATTTTGACAGGCAGTTGTGTGCTTATTCTCCTTTCTTATACAGTATAATTTCTTCGTTTTAAATTAATTAAATTGTTGATATATTTTTCGTTTTTTAATATTAATGAATGTTTTTTTATTTTTATCATTCGTTAGTTAGTATTGAAATTAGTTATTACTCTATTCGTTCAAAAATACTTATCCAATATATTAAAAATAGATGTTTAATAATATTTGTCCATTTTATGAAATTCATGGATAATTTTACACTTAGTTTCTAATTTACTTTTATCATTAATTACATACATTTCTCTATTACATTTTTCAAGACGTGTATTTGTTATAATTAAATAGTGATATGTGTCAAGTCAATAGTGAACAATTGTTGTTGACATTAAAAGTAATTAATATTTAAATATTTTAATCATAAATTTAACAATAATTAATAAAAACAAAAATAAAAATTTATATATCTAATTTATATCTTAATCTTCTTTTGTTAAAGAATATAAAATAGATCAATAAATTTAATCATAGAGTAGTTAATTAATATGGTGTCCTTAATTGTAGTGTAGCATATGATTACATTGACTTTCCATTACAAAGAATATATATAAATGCTTAGCCTCTTTTTTGGACTTCACTTGGTTTCCTTACAAGGTACATTTCACTTGGCTAAATGGCAAAAATGTCCTAATAGTATACTTTCTCGTTTCAATTTATTTGTTTTATTTTTTAAAAAAGAAATTAAGAATTTTTTTAATTAAAACTTATTATATTACATATTTAAGACTATAAATTCTACATTTCTTATATTTTAAATTACAAAATTTAAAAGTGTTCTTCATTTGAATACATGATAAAATATTCATATTACATATTTTTGAAATGTTTTTGTACCTATTCATAAGTGTCTTCACATAAATAAATTAAATACATGAAATAGGTTTCTTCCTTTATTAATAATATACACATCAATTGAAACGCCAGCTTTTACAACTTATTGATGTTAAAACATATAATTTTTTTTAAAAGTTTACTCACTTTAAATAATTAACTTATCTACTTGCTTAAGAACAAACGGAAAAGCCTTGCAAAAACATTTACTCGAAAATCTCTGATAGCAACCCAATTATTATGTATCCAGATGCTCAATCAACCATATCATAGTTCGATTTTCACTAAATAATGATACTCTCTGTTCTAATTTATGTGACACGTTTTGTTTATTGAGTGTTAAACAATTTAAATTTGACCGAGAATTTCTTTATGGAATCTTCAAATTTTTTAAAATGAAATTTATATATTTGTACAATATATAATTGACAATTCAAAATATTTATGAAAAACTATCAAAAAATAAACTTATTTAAATCTTGAAATTCAAAACGTATCAGATAAATCGAGATTAAAAAAAAAAAGTAATAATATTGGGATACTCACACGGCGTACGTGTTTCATACATGCATAGTCAAATTGTAATAAATGTAATTGGGCACATCACGTACGCATTCCGTTACCATATATAGTTGCCTTTTTACGTAATTCCCATACTCCAAAGTCCAAACTTTTTATTCTTTTTGTAATCTCACATTCACTTTTTTTTTTTTTTTTGAATCTTCTTCCTCTTCATTCACGTTATTCTCCTTTTACTTCATGAATAATAGTTAACACATTGTTCGTTTTGTTCTTTTAATCATTCCCCATCACATTATTCACTTTCGTTTTTCATTTGAGTCTCTGTTTTTTCGTGTGCAACTACTCGTTTTTACAAAGCAGAGCCGTTTGATTGAATCTACTGAAAGATATATACGTAGTACATTCATTGCCCGTCTTGTTGGACCAGACCCTAAGTGTAATGTTATTGGTTCAATTTTTGAGTTTTGAGCTGAAGATATGCAGATCTGATGAAATGTGATTTCAGATATTAAGTCTTTGTGTTTTGAGGGGAAATTGGGTAATTTGTTGAGAAATGGAAGCTGCGAATTTGACTGGATTGAGTCCGAGATTGAAATCAATTTCATTGGAGAGAGATAAAAATGATGATCCAGAATTAGAAAATTCCGAATTGGAGGAAGATAGGCATTTTCATTCTATGGATGCGTTGGAGATTTTGAAGGAAACTGTAACGATTCTTCGGTATAATCCTATTGGTTTTTTGTCAATTGCTGCATTGTTAATTTGCCCTGTTTCTGCTGTTCTGTTGTCTAATGTGTTAGTTGATCAGTACGTTGTGAAGAAATTGATGATACGATTGTTGTTTCTGGCTAAATCGAGTGGGCTTCCACTAAAGCCTTTTATCAATCAGTCGTGTCAAAAGTTCTCTGAAATGGTGATTTCAGCTGTTGTGTGTTTTCCGTTGTATGTGAGTTTGTTGCTTTTGTCTAAAGCTGCTATAGTGTACTCTGTTGATTGTACTTACTCGAGGAAGAATTTCGATGGTAAAAAGTTTTATATCATTGTCACCAAGATTTGGAAGCGTATCTTGGTGACTTATATTTGGGTGTGTATGGTGATTACTGGTTGTCTCACGTTGTTTCTTGTACTACTCGTGGCTGTGAGCAGTGCCTTCTCTGTAATAGGGTTCCCTCCAGACTTGATTTTGTACACCGCGATGATTGTTGGGATTATATTCTCTATAATCTTAGCAAATGCTATGATAATTTGCAATATTGCTGTTGTGATCTCTGTTTTGGAGGATGATTCTGGACCGGAGGCGTTGCTTAGGTCTAGTTCTCTCATCAAGGGGCAGACACAAGTTGGGCTATTGATATTTCTCGGATCGACTATTGGGATGACATTTGTGGAGGGTTTGTTTGAGCATAGAGTGAAGATAATAAGCTATGAAGATGGATCTTCGAGGATATGGGAAGGGCCTCTTCTGGTAATATTGTACTCTTTTGTGATGCTTATTGACTCTATGATGAGTACTGTTTTTTACTTCAGCTGTAAATCATATAGAATGGAAGCCTCAAATGAAGAAAGTTTGCCTGTATTAGAAGCCTTGGCGATTTCTTCAGCATTAGCAGAAGTCCAATAACAACATGTTTGAGACTTGAGACTACGTCTTGTAAAGAAAGATTTCTCTATGAACGTTGACACGGAATTATTAGATTATCAGAAGAAAAGTTCGACTGAAATCTATATATATAGCATAACTACTTCAAATGATGTACCATAATGGAGTGTTGCTGTCTTACATGAATCAAAAGAAGATGTTTTGTAAAGGGTCTGTTAATGCTTCATTGTTTACAATATGCTGCGAGCGATAATTAATTGAAGTTTCTCAGATAGTAAACAGAGTGCATTT